GAAAACATAATTCAATATATAATCTTTATAAATAAAAATTAAACTAAAATATATAAATATATAAATTATGTTTTTCATTCCGTCTATTTAAATTATAGTTATAGAATTTATTATCGTACCTTCATTAGCAATTTTGAATGGATTTAAATTTCCATTAATTTTTATAGAACCTTTTGAAAATATCCTTGGTACGTTTACGTCATTTTCCAAACGGAAACCGTCATCAAAAAAATACATTCTTACATTTGGAATACGAATTTTTGATGAACCAGTTACAGTGTTATTTGACAAACTTAATTCTCCATGTATGTTGTCTGAATTTATTACAAATTTGTAGTATTTGAAAAAAAACGGATCCAAAGTTGGAATGTCAAATTCTGGAAGTCCTATCATATAAATAAATTAATACCAATTCGTATTTTTAAATTATTTGATTAAAATATTTTTATTTCTTTTAATTTATAAGATTTTTTTAGTTTATAAGATTTTATGAATTATGTAAATTAATATACATCATGTATAAAGAAAGAATGTATTGAAAGACTAATATACAAATAATAATAATTTAATTTAGACCTCTACATAAATAAATCAAGTATGCAAAGAAAGGACTAATATGATCGCAGCTATTCTTTGTGCCTAATTTATATGTAAATTCTAATTACACATATCTTTTAGTTATATGTACATATAAATTGCGCGCTGTTTACTGTCCGATTTGAAATGCAATCGTAAACTAAACGCTGTATATCTTTTTGTAACTTTCAATGAATTGTAATTTTTTTTCAATCAAAACGCTAAATATATAGAATCTAATGCTAGAATCGAAAAATGTTTTAATAAAAATTGATAATGTTAAAAGTTTCGTCTAAAAACGTAAGTGTTTTACGGAATAATACAAAAAAGAATTTGTTTTGGTCTAAAAATCATATTTTTACAACAAAAAAAACTGAAAAACAAAAATAGATATATTGTATTAGAAAGAGAAAATCATTTTTTATATACACAATTTAAAAAATTCCGTAACGTCATCTATATAATTTTCGCCCGGATTTAAAAGATCCATTGAAGTCGAGAAGTAAGATGTTCAATAATATCATTATTGAAAATCAATTTAATTGCAATACTTGATTATTTCAATTTATAATTGTATTTTAAGTCCGACAATAATTAAAAAATGTATTTATAATAAATATATAGATATTTTAATACACCAAGATCTAAAATCGATCGTTATGACTGTTTCTTTATTTATTTTATTTATATAATTCAATTCATTATATTAATGTTCATGAATCATGCAAGCCTTTGTTATATTGTCTTTATGAAATTACGTATAATAGTGAGCATATTTTATACTCGCACACACACACACACACACACACACACACACACACACACACACACAAAATATATAAGTTAAAATAAGACTAATAAATTGTTACAAAATATACCTGCTGCAAATTTTGGCCATGCCTTCTCCACAGCTTGTTTTAAACAAGTCGAATAGTCATCTGAATTCCGCTTGCATATAGCTGCTAGAGCTAAATAGAAGTGGAAGTAAAATGAAATAAAGTATTAGTAAAAATATAGAAATATATGAATTATTTTAATAAACATTTAATGATTAATTAGGATGTAATTACTTTTTATCAAATATATATGTATATGTTATCAGATATTTATATTAAGAATAGGAAAGAAAAACTTTTTTATCTTTTTATTTCTATTACAATAAATAATGAGTATATTTATAATGAGTATAATAATAGTGCACATTTACAATTTGCGATATTTAAGAAATAAAAATTACAACTTGCAAATGTATTATTTACTTATATAGAACAGTATAAAATAACATCTAATGAAGAAGAAGAATTTTTTATAATAGAACGATTATCGAATATAAAAGGATAATTACTATAAAAATGTTTAGCTATTTCAGCAAAAATAATCTTTTTGCTTATTGTATTATATATGTAGGTTAAAAATATACAATAATTTCTCACAATAGTTTGATATTATTTTTATACAATTCAATAGTGATTTTTTACATTTAATAAACGATTTATGTAAATAAAACAATTGATATACATATATATTTAGGTTAACCGTATAATAATCAGTTTAAAAAGAATAAAGTAAAGAATTATTAAAAAAGACTTACGAAGTTGAGATTCTGCAGCTGAGCACAATGCAAATATTGCACTGAATATACTGAGCACGTAGAGCAACATGTTCTCTGTCTAGTGTACTGGCAAATAATATGATTGATTTTGGAATTAATAAATTTAATTCTCACGAAATCGTATTTAAATCAAATGATGACTTTGAAATAAAAATGTTAATTTCAAAGATTAGATAATAATTTTTTTTATGCAAATGTTTCTATGCTGTTTACATATAATTGTTGGAATTTAGATTATTGATGTGTGATATATAATTATATATAATTATACGTATATAAGAAGAAAAAACCACTTTTTATAATTTACACTGCAATTAATTTATAAATTTGTTTTATAGAATACATATTTTGTGATATAATTTTACAAATTAATTTATGTGCCATATCGTTAATATTAACAAACAAAATAGAGTTATATAATTCTTTTTGTATAAAAAAATTTATATTTATAATTTTCAATATAAAGGTATACAAATTATTATAAAGAAAAATAACAAATTTTAACAGTGGAGAAGTGATACAAAAATAAAATAAAATTTGCCAAGTTTAAATGTGATTTTTGTATTATAGAATTTAGTTAAATCCAAAATTTTTAATCATCATAAATGTTAATTTTTTTATAACTTATTTTATTATTTCTTATTTCTACTGTTATTTTAGATTAAAAAATGAACTAAGCATTAACAATCAAAATTTTATTTTGTTAACTACCAATTGTCGATCTTGTAATTGTCAAGACTTAAAGAATATTAAGGATTAATAATGTAGAAAAGAAAGAAAAAGAGTTCCTAACACTCTTTATGTGCCTTATCAATTTGAATTTAACTCTTACGTAATAGGAAAACAGTATCATTTATTATTGCGTGCATATATGAATTAGATAAAAAAAAAATCAACTTCATTATATTCTTGCTACACCTGTATGTAATCAAAATTTTGATCGATGACGTGAATAAAAGCTAATTATGAGAATAAGTTAATATTTTCAGAAGTTTTTTTTTAGTTAAAAGAAAATATTTTTTCGGAAATATGGTATTGATTATAATCTAGGAATATGAAGAACACAGGTGAGAAATAATTTTATGTTTCAATTAATACTTTAAGTTATTCGTTTATTTTGCTCACAAACAACAGTTGAAAACAAAGGTTAACTTACAGAGTTTTAGAGAAATAGCTTATATACTTTTTATAATGCTAAACGTGTTTTTAATTTTATAAACAATTTGCACTATAATGAATGTGAAATAAATGTATACATTTTATGGAAATACTTTTGAGAAAGAAACTTTTGCGAATAATCTATTGGCTATATCAATATAAAACTTTTCCAATTCTTTGAACATGATTGGTAATACTGCTCGATAAATCGTAGGCCAGAATTCATTTACAAAAGTTATGACAAGATTAGCTGAAAATAAAAATAAATATACAACGTATTTCAGAAAAAAACAAATTAGGAAATTATATGAATAAAATTACAATATATAAGTGTAATTGTAGTTACATAAATAATTATTTTTATTGTGTGATATTCTATTTAGAAAAATAGCAATAATAAATAAAAACGTTACAATAAAGGATGATAAAATATGATTCTAATTTGTAAAATAATATGCATACTTTTAAGTTTTATTTTTTAAATTAGTAATTATCTTTATCTCATTATTATGACTTATGTAACATAATAAACGCATCGCAAACAGTTTTCTAAATAAATTTAGAATATTTAGAATATTTATTTTTGAAGAATTTCTAAAATTATCTTAATAATAAAGTTAACATATATCAATTTAATTTCTAAATTATATAGATACTTGAATTTAACAATTATTCCATAATGATAAATAATACTAGCTCAGATTATGTTGACACTGATGGAGTTTTAAGAGAATTAATGATTTTTCCATATATATAAAATCTATTTCCAATAAAATTACTAAGTATATTAATAAATCCACAAATATGATTGACTATAGGTGTTTAAATAAGCTAATAAATTTCAATCAAAGTTTATAAAAAAAATCAACATGATAAATATATAATAACGTTATATATAAAATAATAATAAATTATAATAACTGCGATGCCTCGTACGTTGGCCAAACGAAGAGATAATTACAGATAAGAGAGAATTAAAGAACATTGCAATAATATAAAATTAGACCAGTCCAAATACTCAGTAATCTTGAAATATCACGAAAACTAATCATAACTTTAATTGAGAAAAAGTTAGTATTCTTGATTTTAGAAAGAATTATCGTAAAAGAAATATTATATATTTCAGAAATAATACATATTAAAGAATAAAAAACGGTTTAAATTTAATGAAAGATATTGAGTTATTGGATAACTCTTATTTTAACATACTTGACGATATACGTGAACATAAATTGTCAGTTTTGAATAGACTTCTTTTTACATTCGATTTTATTGACTTACTTTTATTTGACCTACACATTACATCAGTCAATTTTCAAACCAGTAACAGTCAACAACTAATTTTTAATGTATTTGATCATATTTTTGATTGAGAGTTTTAATTACATTATTTTATATAAATTAATGTAAATTATTATTGGATTCTATACCTCTTATTCCTAATAATATATTATTTTAATACATCTATTCATTTTAAAGAATATCATAAAATATTCGTACTAATAAATTCTTAAATCGTTTGATACAAATCTGCAACAAACTGGATTTTAACCGAAGAATTTGATGAAACTATTTTATCGAGGGACATAATGTAATCTACTGTTGAAGTATTTAATCTTCTTATCTTATTGTAATCCGTCATAATACTTTTTAACGTTTGAATTCTTTATATACTGACACTTCAACACTGATGGTTTTTTAAAAATTTTCATTGTATTTGTTATTTATTTGATTTGTTAATTTAATATTGTATTTCTTTTAACAAGAAAGCTTTGTAAGCCGAAACATTTGTGTAGAATATTATTTAGTATTTATATTCTTATGTTAATTATATTAATTTAAAGTTATTCTAATTATAAGCTCGAAATAAGTCACGTCATTGTTTAATTGAAAAAAAATATATATGATTATTTTTACTCTAATTTTAACAATTATTTATAATATAATTTCTAATCGAACATATGTACAAATTATGTATTATTAGTATTTAATTAATTACTTAAAATAATTAAACTGATAAATATTTAGTTTATATAGTTTTAGTAGAATAATTAATTAAATACTAATAATTCATAATTTGTACATACGTATCGTTAAAAATAATATTATAAAGATATATGTAACTCGTAAATTAAAATATCTGTATAATTCAGAATTAAAATTAAATTGTTGATATATGTTGACTTTAGTCAGATAATTTTTTGTTTTCAGAAGTTTCCTATGTCGAAAACATAGTTAAGTAAGGAGGTGCATATAATACCTATTTTTAAACAGTAAATTAGGTATAAGTCTTTATTTAAGTAATTAAAAGCCTATTGGACGAAATAACAACGAATACATGTATATTTGAATCAGTTTAATACTTACATAACTCTTTGTTGTTTTCGGACAAATCTTTATAATATATTTTAAACTTTCCAATTAATGGGGTGATATGGAATTGTTCAACAATCCATGTATCGTTTACTACATGTCCTGTTATCTCCCATGATGCTCTGACATCATTCAAGGTTATATTAAAATTACCTATCATATAAATTATTTTAATGATGGAAATAGAGGTATTGGTATTTGTCCATATTATAATACAACAATAATTCAAAAAAGTCATGATTATTTCTTTAAAAAATTATATACATAGGGGAGACCGAGGCTAATAGACTAATTTTTCAGTTTCGAATTTTTACAGACAAAATTAAGAGACTTATCGAAAAAATGAATTCCACACCAGTTACTACATACATTTGATTACCTAATAATATTTTAATAATAAGAGGAAACTAATAACTAATAATATGGAAAAAATTCATTTTTTTAATGCATTTCATCTGATTTAACTAACCCCGGGAGCGGCGTAATTCGACTAAGATTATTAAAATAAAGATTAATGTATTTTTAGCTACATCTTTGGCTACATATTAATAAAACTTCTATAAAAATATATTTTAAACAAACATTTGCTTTGCAGGGCAAAACAATGCTTCTTTTTGTAAAATTTGTTCATTTGTTGCAAAAACACGTTGAATAAGCCTAGTTTTCGAGATTGCACATGAGGAAACTAAACTTATAACATTTACCACTGAGGAAAATCTCTTTAAAGGAATAAAATGTTGAGTAAGTATTATAAGAGTCGTCACTAAATAAGTCATACAGTTCCATGCTGTGGTTAGTCTATTAGCCCCTATTCATTAATTTTTAAAAACATTAACAATATACGATACATAGACACATAAACAAAAAAAATCTGTTGGACTTTATTAAGTAAAAATTACACTATCTAAGTAGAAATCAAAGACAATCATATACGACTGTAAAACAAAAATTTTAAGAATAAAAATATTTACTTAGGTGTACGATTTTTAAAATTGTGGCATAACTTGTATCATAAATGTATTTGCAACAAAATGTTAGCAGACTTAGCGGCAGTCACTGCTACGTGCTTAGACACGTTTACGCGTCTCTTGCGTGTTTTGTTTTTAATGTAGCCTCAATTATTCTACTTACCCCTAGTCAATTGACCCCGGTCTTCCTTATACATGTATATGTTTGTATATAGAACAATAATTTTATTATTTTACATCAAAGATAAATTTATGTGTTCAATATACATATAACATTTCTACATGCGTAAATCGTTAAATTTGCAAATTTATTAAAGTTACAATAAATAATTATAGGATTAGCAAGTAACGTGTTACTTGTAATGTCGTCGTTACTTTATTGATCGTTACCTTATAATAATTGTTTCGTTATAATAACGATTTGATAATGATATGGTGAATTTTTTATGATGGTGATGTTAAGAGTTAGAAAAGTCAATCGTTATTTGTAACGAATTGAAAAAGTTATTTGTTACTGAAAAAAATAACTTCTAATTTGTAACGTGTTACTTTTTATTCATTATTTGTAACAAGTAATTATTTTTTTCAATAAGTAGTAATGGTGAGAAATTACTTTTTAAAGTGACTTTTCTAATCTTAGCATAACCTTAGCGTTTAATTAGCGTTATCATTATAAAAAATTGCAACCTTGTCATTAAATTGTTTACTATAAAAAGTAACTCCAAAAAAATAACTGAAAAGTAACGTTTGTCAATCCTGAATAGTTATAATTGTCAGATTATACTAAAACTTTACTAATTTCTAATGGAAAACATAATTTTATAAATAGATATATGCGGTTGATCTTTAATTATTATAGAGGTACATCCAGAATAAATTATATGTTTTTGTTTATGTAAATTATATAAAACTTATTATCTTACCTTCATTAGCAATTCTGAATACACTTAAAGAACCATTTATTTTCGCAGCACCTTTTAGAAGTATTTCTGGCATTTGTACATCAATCTCCAAACGGAAGACATCATGAGAGAGAAACTGCGTTCTTGCATTAAAAATACGAGCTTTTGATAAACCGATGACAGTGACATTTGACATAATTAATTCTCCTCGTATCTCGCCAGAATTAAGCATAACTATACCGTATTCGTAAAATAATGGGTCCATAGGTGGAAAGTCAAATTCTGGAAGCCCTATCAAAATAATAAAATTAATATTAATTTGTATCTTGAATTAATTTGATTAAAAAAATTTCTATTCCTTATTTTCAAGAAAAATTTAAGACTTAACCCTTCTGGGTCAAAGCTTGACCCAAGCATCATATCTTTCACGCTAGATTTCAGAATCTTCCTGGCATCGGAAAGACGCGCATTTACCATCGGCTGGAGGTTCGAAACTTCAACTATCGATAGAGAGATGCTTAGCTTTTTAATCGGATTGTTAGTATGCGTCTAGCAACTATTCGCGCAAACAACGTTTTTTTCTCGAGTTAGAATGTCAGCAAGTATGACTAATGCGTTATTTTTGTTAAGATTTATAATTTATATTTTTGCATTAAATTGCAAAAATAAGCAAATTGTAAATTGTGCCCTTCAAGTAAGTATAAAAAAAAACAATGAGGAAAAAATATCCATCGTGTTTATGACCCATGTGTAATAAACACTCTAAATCTGAATTAGTGGATAATCTACTGAATTATCAGCATATTATATTAGCACATTTGATACTGGACAATCGATGAAATTCAATGATAAAAGAAAAGAAATTTGAGCATTATATAGTTAAAATACCGATATTTGCACGTTCTAGAGCACATTGTAATTCCAATCTTACAATACTATACATATACGTTGAATGCGCTACACTTATACACTGAAATAAGATTCGCTATAGGTTAGGAACAGAAATTTTCTTCTATTACACATGTAACGGAAGCAAATTTATATTTTTTTAACAGTGTATATTAATTAAATAAATAAATCAAAATGTTAAATGAATAAATCAAATAAGCAAAGAAAAGATTAATATAGTTAATCTTGGTATAATAGTATTTATATGTCAACTCTAAATACATTTTTTATATGTATACACTGCGCTACTTACTGTTCGACTTGTAACGCTAAAATAGTAAGTTTTGTATTTTTAATTGCTTTAAAAAGATTTAGAATTTATGAATTTATCAGTTCATTTTTTGTATTGATTTATAGGTTTAGATGCTTTTCTTACATCATAGTAATGTAATTATATAAAATAATAAATATAGTTTATTTATAAAATCTGTAAATTAGACTAATAAGAGCTTATTAATTGCTAATATACCTTCGATAAATCGTGGCCATGCTTCTTCGAAAGCTTGTTTTAAACAGGCGGAATTATCAACTGCATCCTGCTTGCAGGTAGATACAGCTAATTGGAAATAGAAATAGAGTATATTAGAGTACGAATATAAAAACACAGCAATTGTTTTAACAATATAATATATTTCAAAATATAATGTTAAAGAATAATAATTCTTTCTAAGCATAATGTATATTATCATATGTATTTGCAGATATTTATGTTTCAAGTACGAAGAGAAAATTCTTCTCCAATCTTCTTTTAAAATATTAAATATAATTTTTCTTTTATAATTTGTGGTACTTTTGGCTCATGTAAAAATTATTATTG